ACAGCCAAACAGGCCCTACAATTACACATCCTAAATGCCCACTGCCAGATACACCCCACAGTTCCCCAGCCCAGCCACCACTTCCCCACACCCATGCAGTCACAGAGCTCAGTGGGTACCTCCAATTACACCCCAGTTACCCAGCCCAAGCACAGTGCTGATGCTCCACACACTGCCCCGCTCTGCTCTAGCTGTCTCTTTACTCAGCCTCTTGTTCCCACCACCATGGAGGTTTTCAGAAAGAACCTCCTTTACCAGGCACTTTTGGGGCCTCAGCACCACCTGCCTCCATTTAAACCCTGTAGAAGAAATTCATGTGGGAGCTGTGCTGTCATGGGTCCCTGCAGAGACCACAGAAGCTTTTGTTCCCAAAAAACCAAAGGTTGAGCAGGACAGTTCCTCCATCTGGTGCCTGAAGAGGAGACCAGCTCCTCATTTCTCAGGCTGTCACTTTGGGATGCGAGTTATTCCCAGACATTCCTGCTGCAACTTAAAGACTCACACATTGGAATGGGTTGGAAGGAGTGGATTGGAAAAAAAGAGTACTTTAGTCTTTTTAAGTCATGCAGCCAACTGGCAGCAAAAGACAGAAATCACAAACAGTCCTTGTTTTTTGTTTGTTTTCTCTTTCCAGTTTTATGTTTTATTGTTTTTGGCTGGGTGGATCCTGCATGAGGAAAGAAGATTCAAAGGGAAGAGGCTTGCCTGTGAAGTCTTTGGAGGGATGCTAGCACAGAAGAGACAGGCTGTTCCTCATGTGGCAGGCAAAAGAGAGCCCATAACAAGGGACAGAGCCTGCACAGCCCTCCCCAGAGAAGCAACAGAATCCAGAATCACAGGGCACATGGGTGGCTTTAAAATTAAATGAGGGGTGGTTGTATTATTTTTTTTAAACAGCTTTAAAGCAGATGTAAATTAGAGCTGCCACCATGAAGCCAGACCCAAGCACTCTTAAGCAGAGAAGAGACCCATTCTGTAACCAGCATTTGGTTCCTCCTCTCCATCTCCCACCACAGCCTCACCTGAACCTCTCCTCATCTCCAAAACCACCTTGTTGGTGTTTGAATTCCCCCCCAGTCACACCTGCAGGACTGCACACACTGAAACAGATGCCCTGAGAGGCTCCTGGAACAGAGACTGGACAGGGTTAAAGGAATAAAGCAGGGATTTATTAAAAAGCCTTCACAGGATTCACCTTGGGCAGTGCAAGAGCCTGGCTGAGGCTACACCCAAGATGGACCCAAGTCAGGAGTTTTCACACTTTTTAAAGTTTTGGTCCATTTCCATTTTGGGGTTAATTGTCCAATTAGAGCTCCAGGTGATGCAGTCCCATCCTCCCAGATTGCTCTCCTCCATTCCCTGTTTTTGCACTTTCTGGGCCTGAAGCTGCAGCGGTGTCCTCAGTTTTGGGGCTGGAAAAGGACTGTTTTGTCTGACTGAACTGTGAGGAGAACGTGCTAACACTTTATATGAAGTTCAGAGTTATATCCTAATGCAGTACAGAGTCTGGAAAACATGAAAACTAAAACTTAAAGCATTAAAACCAAAGGCTGACCTTGACAGGAGCCAACTCCCAGCACAGCTTCCTCAGTGCCCCCAGTCCAGCACTGCCCCTAAGCCAGCTCCAGTCCCAGGACTGGCACTGCCTCACCCAGAGC